TCTCTCTCTCCCATCTCCAACCCCCCACGCCCCACCCCTCTCTCTCTCTTTGGCTCCCTCTTCGTGAGGAGGAAATTGTCATGAACTGACTACCCGACCCGACCCGACCCGAGTGGCACCTTCACTTAGTGGTTCAACATTATCTTGAAGTACGTCAGGCTATAATTTCGCCATTTTGTCTGAGAGAGAACTGCACGGACCCGTGTTCTGGTGACGGTTCAGGGGGCCTGACGGTTCAAGTGCGTCGATTGGAACATTGTATCGACATAAACCCATGAATCCAAATTGAAGATTGTTTCCTTTGATTTAAAGTGCTCTTTGTGTGAGAAGAAAGGTGGAAAAAAGGGGGGAGGGGGGGGGGGGGCGCTTGTTTGAGGTTATTATTCTTTGACGTCGTCTTTCTTTGGGTCGTAACCAATGTGTATGCCGTTTTTTGTTATTTACTTCGATCTTGAACCCAGTGACGTGAGCAATTTTTGAGTATAATGAGCAAAATCATGTAGCAAGGATGCTTCGAATTTGTGTCTTGTTATAACGAATTAACGATCATAAAATTTTGTCATTTTACTCAGTGGGTTGCTAAAACATGTTACGAATTCGTAATAAGTACCGTTTGGAGGGCTCTTGTTCTAGGAATGGATCCACGTATTGTTTTTTAATGAGTGATTTGTTTTACTTGTTTTGGGGGTTTTTTCGGGGGTTTTTTTTTGGGGGGGGGGGGTTTGTTTTTTGTTTTTTAAGGGGAGCAGTGCAAGCTGACAAAGACAAGATGGTATACGAAAGGGCATACTTTTGGATTTATGTAAATCGTGATAGTTTTTACTAATTAGACAATTTGAAACAAAATAAACGATGGCTTTCGATGCAATACACTGCACTTGACAGGGTAAACGCATAGAGATTTTAAATGTTAATAACAGCAAATAGACGAATGAATTAGATTTAACTGAGAGAACAAAGTAATGGATAAATCCATTTTAGTTAATATTAAACGCTTACTTGAATAAAGACTTGTATGACACTTCAATAAATATGATTGTGGGGGCTTTCATTCCTTTCATTAGAAACACATGGACGCACGTGTGTGTGTGTGTGTGTGTGTGTGTGTGTGTGTGTGTGTGTGTGTTTGTGTGCGTGCGTGCGTGTGTGTGTGCGTGCGTGTCTGTGTGTGCATGTGTGTGAGACTGTGTGCGTTTAAAAACATGCACACGAGCATACACATTCAAAAATGCCTCAGTGAAACTGTTGAGACGCATTCTCAACCTACACCTAAAGGTGTGCTCATCGCCACACATGTAATCCTTACTTTACCACCTTCATTGTTTGATTCTGAAACAAACTAACAACATTATCCCTTGACTCCTCCTCCCCCTCCCCCCTTCCTCACCCCACCCTCCTCCGGACAAATACCCACCTCCTCTAAACTTCTTCATGTGACATTATATAGATCTAGATCCTGCATTTTCCTTGCCCCTGAGCACCGGGATCTAAGGCGGAGCCTACTGTAGTTGCCCCCCTTCCTCACCCTACCATCCTCCAGACCAATACCCACCTCCTCCAAACTTCTTCATAATATGACATTACGAAGTTGCGAGCACCGTAAAACTTTTATTAAACTGCTAAAAACCAAACTTCCTCATTCCACAGTGGGCCCCCCTCCAGGTCTGTTGTTCCACCCATACAGAAAGCCAAAGAGGAACCGCACCGCTTTCTCCCCCTCCCAGCTGTTGCAGCTGGAGCAGGCATTCGAAAAGAACCACTACGTGGTGGGCCAGGAACGCAAGACACTGGCAGCCAAACTCCAACTCACAGAGACTCAGGTGAGATACGCTACACACGCAGCCAAATTACAGAGCTACCAAACGGCGTCCTGTTTTCGCCCTGCTTACCTATTAATAGTTTTCTTCTTCTTCTTGTTCTTCTTGTTCTTGTTCTTCTTTTTGTTCTTCTTCTTCTTCTTCTTCTTCTTCTTCTTCTTCTTCTTCTTCTTCTTCTTCTCAATCCTTTAGCGAAGTTTGGTGGGTACTTGACTTAATTACTGTCGTTTTCAACTCACACTCACTGTGCGGCTGACATTTACTATACTTCTTCTCCCCCTCCCCACCACCCCCCTTTACTAAAGTACCGTGTTCCTGGCCTGTCAGGTACCAGTAAGCCGTTTTCGAATATTTAAACAATTATCTCTATTGGTCAGACTGTCCATTCGATGGAGAGCGACTAATTTTGAGTTGTCTCCCAGACATTAATCAGGTATCATCTTCAGTCCTAGCCAACCTCCATCACGACCAAGCCCTTTAGACCTCTCATTTTCTTCAAGAGTAGATAATATTGTCAGTAAATAGGAAATAGACGCTCACTCAAGGGCCACTATTATTCTGATCACCTCTTGCCCCCTTTTCCCTGATAATAATTATATAGTAATTCTATTATCATTGGGGAAGGTACAGTAATAATGATAATGGTGATATCGAAATTTAACCAGTAGAATGTCCGTACATTATAAAGCTCGACCATTATTAACTCGACTACCGCAAGTGAACAAACCAATTACTTCGTAGATGAGGGGTGGGTATGGACATCGTGATCTGTTTAAGTGTGGAGGGTCAAAGGGTTGGCGATCAAAGGCTTCATTGATGTTTGAGTACTTTATTGTAGATCCACAAATGGTCAGGGCTTTTGGTGGAGAATATATGTATAAGGAAAATGCTGAAACACTAACGCACGCGCGCGCGCGTGCACACACACACACACACACACACACACACACACACACACACACACACACACACACACACACACACACACACACACACACATACATACATACATACACACGCACACATATACACACATACATACTTACACACTCATATACATGCATACTCGCGCGCACACACATGCACACTGAGAGTGGAGACAGGCCGAGAGAGAGAGAGAGAGAGAGAGAGAGA